CCCCCGTGCTGTCTCTGCACGGCCTCAACACTTACTGCCTGCTCAAAGTCTGTCCCCAAGTGCAGAAAATCAGGGACTGAAAGCAAAGAGAGGATGTCACTCAGGTCAAAGCAGACTGTCGAGAGGGGAAAAAAAAAAAGGAGGATGGGGAAAGAGTCAAAGCTTCATCTGCTGGAGTGCCACGCTGCTGTTTTCCTGGGAGCAGAGGTGTTAGTTTCAAGAAGATGTGGAGGGTGAGGAAAGGGGCAAATGGATAGGACAAGAATGGGGAGAAATCCCATATTCTCTTTCCCTAAGCTTACAGGACTCAGCTCTGGAGCAGGACCAGGCTGTGTGAATGTCAGTGCCAGGGGGAGATGTCTCTGCTGCTATCTGCAGTACCTGTGTGCTGGGGTGCAGGAAGGGATGCTAAGGCCTTTGGCTGCACCCCGCTGTCAGACATCCCTTTCAAATGAACCTGCAGGTCCTGATGGATAAGTTTCCATCCCAGGCTGGGGCAAGGCTCTAAGCCAGTTTGGGATCCTTGGGATTTTGGGTGCCATCAGTACCACACCACCTTTCTCCCTCATCCCTCTCCCCTCTACACACTTTGAAGGTCAGACTAGATGGAGAGAGATTCATTTTATCCTGTTACCTGATTTCCCTTCTCATTTACAGACAATGACATTTTTCCTTGTGACAGAAATTCCTGCTATCAGTTCCTGAGGTGTGTGGCTCAGAGATACTGCAATCCTTTGCATTCACCTTTAAGGTCACCCAGTTCTTGCAGTATGATGCTAAGTAACATCTTCAATTTTTATGCCATCAGTGTATCATTAACATCTTCTCACTTCAGTCTCTGTCAACATACAATCTAAAATCAGGGTCTCCAAGGAAGAGTTTAGTGGTCTTCCTCCATTCCAATACTACTCTTCTCCAGGCCAGTACTTTTGGTTTCACCATGAATCATCACCTCCCCTCAGGCCCTTGGCTCTCCTTTTCAAGTGTGAAGACAAAGCAGAGGCTTAGGATGCAGCAGGTGAGTGAAAACAGATCACACAACTGAATTATCTTTGCTTTTAACTGCCCATAGTGGACTGGACAAAGAAAAGGGACAATTCACATTTGCCCATCTAAGATGTTCCAGTTAACTGTCTAACATTTCAGAATAGTTGGAGCCCTATTTTCTCTTTGCTTCAAAGTCCACATCCATTAGGCTCAGCAAGGAGTAACAGGACTGTCACCCAAATAGGGAAAAATAGTTAAAAAAATTTATAAAACAATGGAAATTTATTTTTCCTTCTCTCCTCCTCTGTATAATCTCTGTACTGCTCAGTTGTTCACTGAGGTGACTTTTGCTTTACCAGCATGATTTAGGTGTTCCTGCTATTTGAAATGCTCATGGCACTTATGGGGGAGGGATCCCTGCCTCAGGTAATGGTGTGCATTTTGGTTAGTGGGTGTGCTCACATGGTCCAGGATAACCTAATGCTGGAATACCTCTGCTGAATGGGCCCCTCAGCCTGGAAATAAACTTTGTGAGATTTTGGTGTAGACGTGACTAAAAGTTGACATGGCTTACAATTAGTGACACTTTCAAAAAAATTGCAGGCATTTTTTTGCAAGAAAATCTTCTTTTCTCTCTTCTTCATTTAGTCTCATAGGAAATACTTCATTTTAGGAGAGGCCCGACTGCAATTTTCAAGTGAATAGATTTATTCTTGTTCTTTACTTAAAAAAAGGAGTTAGAAAACTTTACATACCAAAAATTCCCAAGAAGACAGCTGTCAGGAGGTGACATGTCGGATATGAAGTAGCTCTCCAGCTGGTCCCTGTCTGCATGCTGGGAAGGCATGTGGAGACATTTTTTCAATTGCTGTACTAGTTTGACATGCTCACAGTGGAAAATGATGTATCATTCTTGAGCCTTTGCTTGGTGGACACTTCAAAGTGTATTGGATCCTCATAGAGGAGTGCCCTATTGTTAATTGTTCCTTTCACATGTACATTGGGATGAACATGGTGAGAGCAGCGAGGAACAAAAGGGCTCCGGTGGCCTCTTAGAGAAAACCCTGTGCAGCTCAACCTGAGTCTGACCTTGAGAGGGTGGGTTGCTCTGGTTTTTAAATCCTGCTTGCTGGTTCATTCCCCTCTGGCACCCCACTGTTACCAGCTGCAGGGGAACAGGATGGTGGAGCAGCGAGCATACCAAGGCATGGGGAGCTCCTCCACCTCTGCCATGTGATGCCCAAGGAGCCACATCCTGTATGAGCATCCTTCCGGGAGAAGATGAGCATGGCTGTAGTGCAGGAGCTTGGAAAGGGCTTCTGCAGTGAGTGTGTTGGAGGTGTGCGAGTCTGGTATCCCCCAGTAAGCAGGCAAGTCACATCCACCCTCCTCAATGCAACCAACCCACTAGCCTCAGGCCCAGAGCACAGCCCAGGGCTCTGGGGCCCTATGAATGGATGTAGATCTCATAATATATGGCACAAGTTTTCTGGGCCTCTGAGGACATAGTTCATTAATATACTGAGGTAATATTTGACTCCCAGGCACCTGTCACATATCTATCTCTCCCTTTTTCTGCCTTGGGAAACCAACTACCTCTAGTGGGAGACTGCACCATGAAATGTGGTGTTCCAGGCTGAGTTTGAAAGCTCAAGCACAGGACACAATTTATTCCTGCAAAGAGGGACATGATGCCTTGGAGTGCATCTCGTTGAACAAACTAGACAAAACCTCTCCCTGAAGCCTCAGCTACACAGAAGTGTCTGTGCAGGCCACACAGAAACTAACTAGGAGGAAAGAGGCACACCTGCAAGTGTAACACACCGTGTTACAGCCCACAGTGATGCCAACAGCTCTGCAGCACATTCTCTTGCAGGATGTCCTGACCCCAGGGTCTCCCTAGACCAAAAACACCTCAGCCTGGGCACCGCCATATGTGGCTCAGGCTAGACTGAGAGAAAAGGTGTGAATAGGGATAAGAGCACCAATACAGGGATCCTGAAGAGACATCTGATGGGCCTCTGCCCAGACTTTCATATAATGGCAAAGTCTCAGTCTTGGCTTCCTCTGATGAAAATTGGATAAATAGAAATAAAGTAAAACAACGGTCAGTAAAATAGTTGTAAAATGTGGCTGTTTTCATCCCTCAGTGCTCAGGTCTTTGATGCTTCATGTCAGTAAAGTAGATTTTACTTGCAAAGTGTCTTGGACTTCAGTCCCTGCTTTCCCCAGCACACATCTGTGTTTGGTTCAGAGCTGGCAGTATCTCCCTGTTGATGGTGCACAGCTCCTGTGTCCCTATCCAGTCTTCCCATGCCCAGGGTACTGGGGACTGGAAAGCAGGAGAAAAGCTTCTTCAGCTGTGGGAGGCAGTGGGTGCTGGCTGGCACACAGGCTGCTGCCAGCTCTGTGTCATCAGTGCACAGCAAGGGCAGCTCTTCTGCTCTCCTTTTCCTCCAGCTCTAGGTTTTACTGTGCTTTTAAGTAATTGTCACCCCTTAGGGACAAGCCTTCGAGAAGGCAGAGGGCTCGCATAACTCTGGATCAATAAAGGAAGCAGCTCAATTAGCATTTCACACGCCTTTTCTTCCCTCTCTTCTTACCTTCCCTGCAGCGGGCATGCTTTCCCCTTAAAGGATTGTCCTGTTTCTGCTCCTTGCCAGCGTTGGCAGGGTGACAGTAGTCGAGTGTGCAAACTTGTGCTATTGTCCCCAGGCCAGGGGGAGTCATGGAGACCCACTAATATGACACAGGAAAATGTTTGCTGATGGCAATTCTATGGGCTTTGTCTAACTCTTTCTCCATCATGACGACTCGATTTAAGTCTCTAACTGTTTGACTACAGATGCAAGAGTACTATCCAACTCCATCCTTTTGTTCGGGTAGTTTGAATGGGTAATTCAGCTTTTGTGTAACTCAATTGAGGGGGCAAACATAAAGACAAGATTCTTGAGCGCTCAAGCTCCCTTTCCATGGATATCTGCACATCTCTTTAGAGATTTGTTCCTTTCCTACCTTTTTCTGACATCATCCTCCCCTTAAAAAAAAAAAAAAAAAAAAAAAGCTGTGATGGGGAACGGTTAAAAGTAGGCTAGTCCAGACCCCATATTATATTGTCCTGTGCCAATGAAGCATGTTTAGTATCAGCCCCCAGACAGCTTTGGAGAATGAAGAGGAAAGGGTGTCTAAACTTTCCTGACTGATCTTCAGCATTTTTGCTTTGGATTGTGTAATTTTTAAATGAAAGGTTTCCATCGGGGTGAAGAGGATAGGGAGAATGGTAGAAATCATGGGGAAATGATTGTATTTATTAGCTGTCTTTCTGCGGCTGTCCCCATGGAGACAATTTGTGATGGCAAAGAATGCAAGGAGGGGAGGCTGATGCCTGATTGGGATGCTTTGTATTTGGCAAAGTGGCTTCTGATTGGCCTGGGAGAGCCCCGAACTCGCTGGAGTCGATATTCATTCAGCTTGCTCAAGTGCTTGCTAAACTACATCCAAACACTGGCGGGCCCTGGCTGCCTCCGCCGAGGTTGGCGGTGTGTAACCTGCCTAACGAGATTAGCGGGGAAGGGGCTCTCTCTCCTCCGCAGCGACGCAGCCGGCAGCACCGGTGAGAAAAAGCTGCCGCACGCCGGGTGAGTGTCGGTGCTCGCTCCCAGGGCGGCCACCCCGGCTCCTGTCCACCTGAGCGCTCTCTAACAGGATTAGGAGCTGAGCCGGCCCCCGTGAGCCGCTCCCCGTGCCGGTGTGTGCGGGGGCAGCAGTGCGGGGCGGTAGGCTGCGGGCACAGACAGCAGCTTCCCTGCGAGGAAGCGAGCTGACCAACAACTTGTTTGCGTGGTTGAGAAGTTTGACGTCTCCCCCTACCCTCCCTCCATTTGCTTAGTGCCGTTTGAACCAAAGCTTCTTGCTCAAAAGTCTGCCTGTCGTGTTTCGCAGGTTTGCCAAGGTTTGTCTGAAGAAGGATTAGAAACTTTTCATGGGAAACTCTGCACGGTGCATTCAGTGAGATGGCATCGGACAGCGAGGTAAAAACTCTACTGAACTTCGTTAACCTGGCTTCGAGCGACATCAAAGCGGCTCTGGATAAATCAGCTCCTTGCCGCCGGTCAGTTGACCACAGGAAATATTTGCAGAAGCAGCTCAAGCGGTTTTCTCAGAAGTACTCACGGATCCCACGGTGTCACCACCCCAGCAAACCCGCTGAGTGCGGCTGGCGCAGGGGCGCAGAGGACCGGGCCCGCGGCCCCCTGCCCGAGGCACCCGAGCCCAGCTCCCACGGCGGGGCTACCGCCGAGAAGGTGATGCAGACAGCCGAGGCAGAGGAGAGCCTCACCGGGGACCGGGTTTTGCAGGAACAAAAGCCCGAGGCTGCCCGACCGGACCAGGTGCCCATGAGGAAGCGACAGCTCCCCGCCTCCTTCTGGGAAGAGCCGCGGCCGGCCCAGAGCCTGACAGCCAGAGCCTTTCCTGCCAGCCCTGAGGGGCTCCAAGCCCCCAGAGACCCTCCTCCCTATGAGGGGAAGAAAAGCAAGAGGAGCCCGGACGCTGCGGGCCCGGAGAGCCCCCCTGACACTGCGCCACATGCCGGGGAGAAGGACCCCGCCGGGCCGCTCTCGGGCCGAGTGGGTACTTGGACCTGCTGCCCCTTCCCCTGCCCCGGGCCAGGCGTGTTCCAGCCCCCGGGAGCGCTGCCCCCGTCGCCCTTCCCGGGGCTGGGGCTGTGGCGGAAGAGTGCGGCCCCGCTGCCGGCCGAGGTGCCGCGCTTCTGCAAGGAGGCCGATGGGCCGGGACAGAAACTCTACAGGCCCATGGTTCTGAAACCCATCCCCACCAAGCCCGCCATCCCCCCACCCATCTTCAATGTTTTTGGCTATCTTTAGCGGGGCGGGTGCCGGAGTCATGCCGAACACGACAGCTCCTGAGGGGGATTTGAAACGCCCGGTCAGCCTTCGGGCATGAGCCGCTGGCAGGGGAAGGAGGCCGGCGATCACACCCTCAGCCTCGTGGGCGGGCTGGAGGGAATAAATAACTGCTGGGAAGGTACTTGGGCTGCGCTCTCCCCTCCGTACATGGGGGCAAATCGGCAATAAACCTTGCGAAGCCGGTGGCATGCAGCATGAGGCACACCAGGTCTCTTTCATCGATGGGCATTGTCTGAGCCGCGGCGAGCGGGGCTGCGGGCCATTCATAGCCGCACTTGTAACACCTACGAGACCTCCTCCACGTGGGAACATCTTTCTGGGGCTGCCCTGCGGCAGCAGCAGCGAAATGGAATAAATTAAATGCATTCAAAGAGTTTTTTGTACTTTAAAGTAATTCCAGAGAAGTCAAGATATTCAGGTCATTTCGTTTTGCATGCAAGAGACTGGAAGGATGGTATTTGATATAGAAACCACTTGTGATTGATTTAAACTCTTGTTGTATGTAAATACTGAGAGAATTAAAAGAAAAAAATAAGGGAAGAAAGAAGGTAATTTTATTTTGGTGATTCTGCAAGTACACTCTGTTTAGTTTTGCCCCACTGGTGGGGAGATACGAGGGCTGAAATCTGCCTATTTGGACTGATATAAATCAGAAGTAATTCTTCTGGGGCTAGGATGTTAGCTAGTGCTAAGCTGGTGCAAATGGAAGCAGGATGCATTTCCACATCAGGCACTGACCTGCATCAACATAATAAATGAGGAATTGTATTAGTTTAATTCAAAACCATTAGGTATGATGGAAGAAAAAGGAAAGAATGGACTACCTTGATTTCTGATTGAGAGACATCTTTTATTTTGCCTGATTTTAAGATGATATCACAAGACCTGGCTGTAAATGTCTTGCCTAGTATTTTCCTAATTTTTTTAACAAATTGGCATTGAAAAATTTATTAAGAAGTGTTTTAAAGTTAGGTTTCTCTAAACCCATGGAGAAAGTGGTACTAAGGCACAGAACATGAGATATGAGATGTTTAAGGTTGCAGGTGTTTGTATCTATTTGGTTATACTGCAGTAAATCACTGAGGTCAAGAGCAGTATATTTTGGGAGGAAAGAGGGACAAAGAAAGGACATCCATGACCTCCCAGGGCTTGAACCTGCTGTTGCTGAAGCTAATGGGAACTTCTCCCAGGACTCAGTAGAAAGTGGCCTTGATTGGTTTGGTCTCTGACTGCCATAGCTCTCTATGACTCCTGGTATGTCTACAAGGGGAAAACCAGAAAACACTTCATTTGAGTGCATTGCAGTCATTAAAAAGAATATCATCTGAAGCAGTTGTAGAGTATCATTTTGTATCTTCTGATGGCCTTGGAACTATATAACCTCGTTGCAACTTTTATTTGGATATGAACTACCACTGGCATTAGGTCAGTTGGTTAGAGCCTGGTGCTAATAATGCCAAGGTTGTGGATTTGATCCCTGTATGCCATTCACTTAAGAGTTGGATTTGATGATCCTTGTGAGTCCCTCCCAACTTAAAATATTCTGTGATTCTACTCCCAGGCTAGAAGTTATTTACTCTTTCCCCAAACCTCACATATCCCACCAATGTTCACTTTTATGGAAACAATGTCTGTAATGTGTTTGTAGTCCAGGTGAACTGTAGAAATAGAGATGGATTTCATTGCTTTCTCCCTGCAATGGCACTTGATATGTATCAAGCTAGTATAGACTATACATGTAGGAGAGAGAGCAGGCAATGTCTCTGGTAGCACATACCCGTAGCTACATGCAAGGCATGAGGTGCTTAAGAGCTAATCTAGGGGCTAAAGATATCAGGTTAGCTCTTGATCCAGAACTGAAGATAGGAACATACTTAAATGCCTTTCCCTTTTTTGGAAAAAAATCAATGAGGAAACTCCAGAAGAAGAATAACAGAAACCAGATCCATTGAAGTTAAAGGTAGGAGAACAAGGGCTTTTCATTTACAGACCTGTAGGCAAGGAATTTTTTCACATGGAAATGTTTTTTTTTCCTCACATAAGTAGCTCTGCTGTAATCCAGATGTAGCCAGATGCTGAAATCTGTTTCAGTACTATCAATGCAGAGCCGCCTCCTTGGCATTCGTCTGGATTTGCATCTGGGTGGCCAGACCAGGTCATGGAATGAACTACTGGCATTGCAGTAGTTGCTGTGCTCAAGTGTTGCTCCTTGAGTTCTTTAGGGAAATTTCATAGTGCTGTGGATCACACCAGAATAAGGATTTCTATAAAAATTCAGAATACTTGGCAAAGTGGATAGCCTCTGTATAAATTTTATTTCTGAAGAAATCCAGAGAAAGATGAGAGTTACAACCTATCTTTTGAATATTTAATTCTTAATTTTATTTTTTCCCTTCTTTAAAACTCTTTATTATTTGAATGTATATTGCTGCATATTTTCCATGTAGTAGAATAGTGTTTTAAAGTTATGATGAAGGATTGAAACAGTCCATTCTAAATGACCTCAGACTCAAATACTTATGCTCCTACACTCAGATTTAAACTAATATTACTTTTTCAAAATCCTTTGTGACATGGAAGTTCCCCCCCACCCCAGCCCAAGGCAAGCAGTGGCCCTTGCTGGGGCTTTGAACTGAAGCAGCAGTGAAGTAAAACACAAATGAACAGAAGACAATTGTTAAGTATATTCAAAATCCCTGAATGGGGATGTGTGAGACTTTCCAAAAGGTTTGCAAATAATAGCAACTCTGCCTCCTCTCTAGCAATATTTACTGTTCTCTCATCCCTGAGATTAACAACAGAATGATTAATTGTTCAAGCTTGGATTGATTCAAATTTTCCTGGATATTTTTGTGTTTGGCTGGTCAGTGGTTGATGTTGCTATTCGGGACAGCTGATAGTCCTTAAGAATCTACTTGTTTATTCATACTTTGTTTGAAAGATGGAAACATAACATTTGAGAGCTGCTATTTACTAAAACAGTGCAGATTTAAACTTTAAAAAACACAATAGCTTTTATAAATAATGGGAAGGGAGAGGTAAATGAAAAAAACTTTTATACAAAATGAAATTTAAAAAAAATCAAAAAAGTGCAGAAGAACATCAAGTGAATTGCACATGTTGCAGTAAAAAAAATGTACAGTAACCTGGTCATGAAATATTCCTCGAACATTTCACATAAAGTCATCATCTCTGAAGGAGTCTAACTATCACACTCAGTAAAACAAGCCACTTTACCTTGAATTAGAATTACTGATCTGCTTACAAAGCCTGGCTTGCCTGGGTTCTGGAAGATTTTTCTTTTCACAGTAACTTCTAGGTAGATGCATTAAAGGCACATTGAATTCATGCAGATTCAGTATTGTGCACAAAATAGTATGTCAGTGACTGGAGTGGAGAGGTAGTGAGCTCCATTTCAGTGAAAATAAATGTAAACTGAGTGTGTGAAGGTATGCTTTAAAGATGAAGCAGAAAGGATTTAATAACATTGTAATTACTAGACTCCCCCTCTAACAGACTCTTCTCACCTCAGTTTCTGTGCAGGGCATGCACTTATCCTTCCCACAGCTGTGTTATGTTCCCATCAGACCAGTGCTCTCTGCCTCAGTGACTTCTGCTCAGGACAGATCCTTGACAGCAACCAGGACACGGGTCTCCCAATAGAAGTGAAAGTCTCTTGGTTGAAAGAAGAAATGGGCTTTCCTTATTTATCCCATTCAAACACAGTTCCAGGTTCTCCTAGGATATAAAAAGAAATTGCTACTTGCTAGACTTGCTAGACACAAAAATGTTGGCTCAGGGGAAATTCCCAGTTTGGGACAGTTATGAAATCCCACTTCTGGAGTTATACATGTACTTGGTGATTGTGAACCCTTCTACCCTGTCCACCCTTCTACCTTCTTCAGGGCTGTCACTGCACACCAAACTCTGGAGTGGTCTCCACCAAGCTCCATCTGTATCCATCACCCCCTACAACTCTGCTTTGTTACACTTGCTTGATTTCAAGGACTTTTGATTTCTATCAGTGTGAGACCCAGACCTTTGTTTTTCAGCCCCAGAAAGTGAGAGATGCATGAACTCCACGGTGATTTTCTGTCTCTCCAGGGACTGCTTACCAATACAGGATCTTCACTGGCAGAACTGATAGAGCAATTTCTTGTTCCCCATCCTTTTCTATCCATCCAATATTTTTCTAACCTGAACCAATTCCCTGTCCGCACTGCAGAAGAGTGTGCGGAGAGATCCTAAACTGATAGTAAAGGAAGTTAATGGATGAAACTTCACCAGTGGAGGAATCTCGCCTGACTTTCCAAAGCTTTTCAAGATCACTGTTCAGTGTGAATTGAAACTCTGTTGGTTTTTCAATTTTTGCATTTATAAAGGGAACAGCAATGTAGACATGACAATGACAGAGTAAGCAATCCTGTAAGCAATCCTTTTTCTGCTCACATCCTGTCCCACAAGTGATGAACACATTTCACACAAAGCCATCACAGTCTGTGTGCCCAGACAGATTGTATTACTTGTATTTGTGCAACACACTTTAGTCCTGTGCTTAGGTATAAAACTCCACACAAATAAAACTCAGTGCAGTGTATTTTCCCTACTTAGATTTCTATCATATTCCATAGATGCTATACAAACAAAACCAGATCTGTAAGGTCCCTGATAGGGACTCTCAGCAGACCCCACCAGACACACTAGGCACAGCTCCTCTGTCACCTAAGGTGAGGAATGTGCTGCTAGCTTAAGATCTGAAAAGATGTAGTTCCAAATTTAGTTTCTTCTATTCTTTCTTAGGTGCCTAGTGCGGAATAAAGCACTCATCAAAGCAGTTCAGCAAGTCACACCTGTCAAGTCATCTGTAGTCACTGCCAATAACTGTTCATGGGCTCCCTGGCCTCCCCAGCTGTGAGGGAATGTGACTTGTTAAAAACTTCAATAAAAGAATTTCACGGACAATTATAGTGGTTCAGCAGATAGATGGTGACTTGTTAAGTTGCCATAAATCAGTTGTGGATCTGAACTGTAAATAGGTGACCTAATTTTCAAAGAAGCTGAGATAATAACTTTCATCAGTGTCAAAGGAAGCTAATAGATATTTCAAACTTCCAAAATCAGAAATTTCAGGGCTAAATTCTGAGATATTTATTCTGCCTCAGTAATATCTGATACTGAATATGATTCCCCTGGTTTAAGTGGAACAACACCTGGTCAAGCAACTTGGCAATGTTTAGGCAGCTGAATAAAGATTTGGAAACCTAATTCTGGGTATTCATTTCCATAAATTTTGCAGTTTGAATTCAATAATTTTGAAATAATTTCTTTTACTTTCAATCATAGTATTGTTACAGCCATAAAGGTCCAAGGAGGTTGGAGAGGCTGGGTTTTGTAGAGATAAGATCTTCTGGGGGAGGAAGAGAATAAGTTGGTTCAGCAGTGTTGCCTCTCTCCTTCACATCACTCTCTGTTCCAGCTCCTCTAGGGCTTTGTTCTGTTCTGACACCAGCTTTATGAAAATATAAACCTACTGTTTACAGTACAGCTACTTCTAATTTACACCAAAAAAAAGAGCTTAGGGTTGCTTTCAAATCCCCAGTCTAGGAAATTCTCTCAAGCAAAATTTCACTTACTTCCTATTGCAAATAAAATACAAAATGAACTGTATTCACTGTGGGCAAATATAATTCTTCCACCTCCTTAAATAAACCTTTCCTTGACTTTTAAAGGATTCAGCATTTCTGGATTTTAGTCTATTAAATCTTCTGAGATTTGAAGGTTCAGAAATCAAGTACTCAAAATGAAAAGTACAAAAAAAGAAGTGCTAGCAAGGTGGTGTCAAAATATCTGAGAATTAGCAACCAACACACTTCACATAAATCCAGATAATAGAATAGAAACTACAATATAAATCTCAGTCAGTGAAGGCAATGTGATTGTTTTCCCAAATACATTGATTCTTGACAAGTTCTGAGTTGTGACCACAGCAAGGGTGCTATGCTCCACCACAGGTTCAGGACACTTTTGAATTCCTCACTGATACTTGCTTCAGCACTACTCATTTGTCAGTGTTGGCTCTCATTTCTTCTTCTTCTCAGACTGAGGTCTGAGCTGAATCGTGTTTTCTCTTGAAAAACCTAACAGCAGTCTCTTGTGTTAACTGTCTCCTCCATTTTCTTCTCACTCATGCTTCAAAAGGACATTTCTCTTGGATTAGTCATGGGAGGGTGCTTGACCAAGCCTGCAGCAATTCCTCCCCGGTGTGCACCTGTGCCACAGTGGTGGTGCCGGGTGCCACGCCAGGACGCTGCTGCATATGCAGTGTGCTTGGGGTCACTGTGAGTAGTCGTGCTGTAAATATCGGATCAGTCTGTCTGGGAGAGGCAGGGTGTTAAGGAGTTTGATGCGGTTTCTTCCAACCAGGCTCCGTACCTTGATGCGGCAAAGATGGGAAAGAGGTCGTGGAGGTTCTGAAAGATAGGTGGGTCAGAAACATGACCAGAATAGATTTTAACTTGAGGGACTTGAGCTCAGCTTGGGCAGGAGGAAAATGGGAGAAGGAAGAATAAAAAAAGGGTTTTTTTTTCAGTAATGAAGGGATAATATGTCTGGGATTGGAATAGAACATCTATTCTGAGGCATGACATGGCGAAGGATGTGGGGCTGGAGGATGGGGTGCTGTACCCATCTCAGCCATAACAATAGGCTTTCTAGGAGGATTTAAACAAGCCACTTCAAAGTGTTCAGCCTTCCCACTGAAAATAATGCAATAGATACCAAATTTATCTTGGTGCCAGAAAACTGATTCTGGTCTATTAAAGACTTTTTCCTGGGGGAATGGATATTAGGAGAGTGGAATATTCATGATGGTTTTAAAGGCCACTGGTGCCTGCTAGGCTGCTGTGGAGATGGCTGTGCTGCCTACCTGTCCTGATCTGACAGAACCCCAGCTACATCCAAATGGGCCTTTCTGCAATGCTATGCTCATTCCCAGTGGGTCAGATAAATGGCTGGTGTGCACTTCACACCACAGGGCCAGTGACACCCCAGAAATTTCTGACCCTCATACCTGGCCAGTCACAGCAGGGAAATCCTTTCAAGTTTATGGGATGAATACTAAGAGGAGATGGTGACTGAGGTTTTGAATCCAACAGTGGGACTATTTGTGCCATATTCTCTTCTGGGAGAGCATACCTGCTTTTTCTTTAATGACAGCCCAGTCCTCATAGCTGTCAATATGCTCCTTGAGCCGGGAACAGAGCTGCACGTTACCCACATAATCCAGAAGAACGTCAATGATCGGCCCAGCCCAGCGACTTATCTCTGGAGTAGACACCATTTCACAAAACTTCAAGGAAAAACAGATTGACTGCAATCAGTGGGACATAAATGCATTTGTGGAAACAGCAATTGCAATAGCCCTGACAGCTCTGATGGTACCCCCCTTCTACCAGCTGTGAGGGCAATTGCCACTTTCCTTTCAGAAAACTTCAACTGAAGCCTGTTCTTTTCCAGCTGAGGGTAGAACCTCTCTTTGCAGTCGCTTTGACACAAATCCCTGGTAAAGTCCTAGCTCTGGAGCATGGAATAACGCTGAATTGTTTACAAGTCCTAGGATCCAACTTCCACAGAAATGCAAGGGCAGAGAAACTTTGCCCCAAGCTAGTCAGCGGCTGCTGAAAGATCCCTGCAGTCTAGGGCCTTGTGACCTAGAATGCTGGGTCCTTTCCCTTCTTGGGTGGAGTTTTGAGAGGCAAAAAGGAATCTTAGGGAAAGAGGGAGATTCAGAAGAATGCAGCACCTCCTGCTTCTTGTGAACCTGCTAGTATCTGCAGCTTTGGGGGAGCAAACATCTTACTAGAAATAAGTCTGGAGAAATCTGCTCAGATGAATTCCAGGCCATTTTACTCACTCATGTGAGAACTATCCTGGCCCTAATAGAGGGGCACCTTCCGTCCTCAGTCCTAGATCATGCAAATTTTCTACTGTCTCCAGTGTACGCTGCAGAGTACCCAAATCCATTGCATGGAGGGCTTCTTATGAAGATAGTGAAGAATAAACTTAAGGACCTGGCTTTAAGCTGACTAATTTAAAAAAAAAAAAATCTGCCCACTTTAACATAAATATGTATATTATACCAGTCAGTTTCATTTGTCTCTTTTAGGGTTCTGCATATGATGAAGATATCTGTGGATGTAATCTGCATGCAAGCAGTCAGGAAATTTAACATGAATTAAATCATGCTGAGTGGGTAAGAACTCAGGCACATGGCTGAACCCTATTGAATGATGGTGGCTGAAGCACCATCCATCAGCTTAGTCACTCAGACTGTCTGCAAACACCTTCTAAGCCCACACCAAATAGGAAAGAAAATGTGCCATCTTAAAGCTCTCTCAGTTTAAATTCCTGTAACTAGATAAAATTTGATTATTCATGCATGAGTCCTAACTCAACTCCTAATCATTATACTCTTGTGTGGATACTCTTATTCAGAAGTGAAATTATATTAGTTCACCTAGTAAAATAGAGCAGTGGAAAATAAGGTTATTTTCTTCAAGGTGAGAACATTCACAGAGGTGTTCACTACACTTCTGACTCTTATTTTTCACTGAACATCACCATGTAAAGTTTCCTAGGACAACTGGAGACAGTAATGTCAGAAGGATGGTGGTGGACAGCCACAGTTTCCTACCTGGGCTGCTTATAGAAAGTGCAGTTTTGTATGTCTGGCTGTCACTCCCCAGTGCGTGTGTCACTGCCATGCACTCGCCCGTGGGCAGCACAGACTGGGCACCAGCTCTACCACCTCCTTGCAGCTGAAATGAAGACATGTGTAGGGCCATAAAACACTGGATCTTGCTCTCTTCTCTCTGCCAGAGATCATGCCTGCCTTTTTCTCTCCCTGTTCACAAGCTCAGCTTACAAAAACCTCTTCTGGAATAAACATGTTTCAAAACACATTGCAGGAAAAGAAGGAAAATAAAGAAAAACGATGCAACCTGCAAGACCAGGCAGTGGGATTGACTCAGGGACAAGGTGGCTCTGAGCCTGTGTTCTCGGCAGAAACCCGAATGCCCTCTCGTGGCAGTACGGTACTGCTGTCTGTCCCCACCTTCCTGGGATCAACAGTTCTGGAAACAGGAAGGGAGTCAGCAACCATTTTTCTGTGTTCACTTTCTCCAGGACACACTAATTTAGTAGCATCAGTGATGATTTATATTTGTGCATTTTCCAAATCCAGTTACAGTAGTTTGTAGCCTTTATAGAGACCAATAATTCAGATTTATTATCCTTATGTGATCTTACGGAAGAATATAGAAAAAAACATCCTTCGTGTGGAGAAGGCTGTAGTTTCATAAGGTCCTCTGTATTTCAGAATATAAACCATAACTACATGTCATGAAGCTACCACACAAGCCTCACTTTTATTAGCCAAAATCCTAGCAGTAAAAGCAAATAAAAAACAATATTAGAGGGAAGGGATTACTTTTTTTTTTTTTTCCTGTGCATATCTGTCCTTACTGCTTTCTCTCTGGGCACAGATGAAATTTTATAGAGTTTTTTCTATCTCTGCCTCATGTGATGTGACCTTTGAGGCAATGATTCTTTGTGAGTGACCTGATAACCTGATATCTTCTTAGGCAATAGTTCCAGGTGAGATCCAGAAGGAACTGGTTTTGAATGGCCAGGATACCATAGAGGGCCACAGACAAACCCTCTCTGTTTGCCTTGGAATTCCATCTCTTTACTCACTCAGTGTGCTACCATATCACAGATCGAGAACTAGAGATTATATAGTTTATAAATTTTTCTTTGACAAAAAATACGGTATCCTGGAAGAGTTTTGTTGTGACAAAGACTCTTGAAGATAAAGCCCTGTTTAGGATGAGAGATTATTGTAATGAACTCTTAAAATTCTCTCTGTAAGATTTTAATTTTGCTTGGTTTTTTTCCCCAGATATGTTACTGCAGAGTAAAGTGTTTTGGAAGACAGGACTGATAAAAAGGTCAATATTTCCTTGGATTTTTTTATTTTTTCTTTTTTCTTTCCACCACCAAAGAACATATATTGGTAACTATACCTTCGGGATCCCTCAAACCTTCACTTAAACTAGATAGAAGCTGATTGATTTCTTTCCCAATTCTTTGCAAAATAGAAAAACTTCCATGTTGAGATTTCATTTCTGTGTAGTGTATTGAAAGACAGCATAATTTGAGTGGAGCATTAGGTTTTGAGATACATTGGAAGGAGAGAACATACAGAAATCAGAAAAGAAGTATAATCTGAGATTCTACAAAGTCCTTTAAGGGACTGAGAGTCTCATTTTAGCCCAGTGGAAGCTAAGCCCAGCTGCATTTTAGAAAGGACTGCAAAGATACATGTATAAAGTGTAGATATCTAAAGCCTTGTAAGTGGCTTTGAAAATACGAAATCATGGACCTAAATCTCCTAATCTCTTGTGAAAACTTCAAATATAACTCAGTCACACAGCTAATGTAATAATTTATGTTCTCTCTCCATGACTACTTTTCCAGTAGATGCAGAAGTTGTAGTTGCTCACATTCAATAGTTTGCCCTCACAGAGTGAAGCACCAGACTGTTTTCATGTAACCAGTAGCTAACCTTCTGTATCAGACAAAACAAATCCTACAGGGCAAGTTAAAAAAGGTTTCTACCGCCCATATTCTATCATCCATATGTTTGTCAGGAAAACATGCCTCAGTCCTGGCACCTCAGGTCCAGAGGAAAAGAATATTGTAGAACTGTTGGTAAGACTGTCAAGATGGCTACAATTCACTGTAAATTCAAGCTATGTCCATAGTGCCTGTTGCCTACCTTCTTGCAGTCATTGAACACCACCTTGGAATGTTTGAAGACTCATATTGAACCTTTTTTTTTTTTTTTTCCTGTAAATAAAGTAGGGATCATGGCATTTTATTTCACAAAAAAGTTGGAAGAAAAAATACATTAATGTTGTCAAAACCCAGTGGTAGGACATATCCTCAGAAGTCCTGTAGGTAGACTAGGCTGTGCTTACCTGTACTACAGTTGGCTCTCTGGTCACCTGAGGATCATTAAGTCTTTCCCGCCTGTAATTTAATGCAGGGTGTGGGCCATTTCCGTACTGACACTCAAAACAGGAACCTGCATCACAGCCCAGATCCAGGAGATACTTCAGCACGGAAAGGTACTTCATTGAAAACATGATGGTAGCTGGAAATGTGGTGGGATGACTTGATATATAGGCATCAATGTTTGCCCCATGGTCAAGAAGCAGTTTCATGGTCTTCAGGCAGCCGTGGCGGATGGAGATGAGTAATGGGTTAATGAGGTCAACATTGGGGTTGGCTCCAGCTTGCAGCAGCAGCTCTGTGGCGTAGATATTATTGTTAAAAACAGCAAAATAGAGTGGGGTGGTGCGTCTGTCCTCATAAAGGCAGGACCGTTCATCAGAGAGGGCAGTGTTGACCTCGTAGCCAGCGTCTATCAGCTCTTCCAAGATATCGTCATTGTTGCGTTCGGCCGCTAAGTGCAGGGGGCTGATGCCACTACGCTTGACACGGGTGCGGCTGGTGACAGGGATCAGCATGGAGACAATCCTGCCAGGAGCAGACTCAGTGAGCAGCAGTGAACTCCAGGGGATCTACAGCACTACAGCACATCATAGCTTTATGATTGTACTCGTAAGGCAGAGCCTGCTAACTTGGACACAGGAGCAGCTCATAGGAACCAGAGTGCAAACCTCAAACCTGTCAGCAACTCCCTGTGCACCTACCTTGCCAAAAATGTGAGATGTGTGACCTTCCCCTTTCATGGAGGAACACATTTTTTTGAGATTATCACCCAGTTTCTGTGACATAATGGCAGCTACAGGGGCAGTTACAGTGGAAGAGACGACATGCTGGCAACTCACCCACCCTGTTGTTATTTCTCTTAGGTTCCAAAGCCCAAAGGGCAACAACCAGCCAGGAACTACCAGATATTCTGCACCTTCATCATCATGCTGTGGGTAGGACTGGAGGAAGAGGTGCACAACCTCCAGCCTGAGGTGCCAGCAGAGAGAATACATCTCCCCTTCACAGGGTTTGCTTTACTGCTCAGCAGAGAAGGGTGCCAACACAAAGTGCTGGCAGGTCTTGTGGGTCACAGCCACAGTAATGGGCTTGACACCAGTAAGGGGGTGAAACCCCATGTCTACAGGTCTGAGCTAGGATGAACTACAGATTTGGTTCCCAAGCTTTCCTTATTAGATTTTACAATTCACTTATTACCCTGCATGGATCCCTATCCTGTAGGCCTTCACTGTGCGGCTTTTGACTACAGCAAATTCATGGGGCTATCAATGTCCTTCCCAAATCATGGGGAGCCAAAAAGACAATTAGTAAAAGGGAGAAAAAGAAGTAAAATATTTTTCAGGCTGGTTTCCATGTTTCAGCTGAGGGAGAAAAAATGTGCAGCCAAGTCCTAAACCCCAGTAATGAGGGGTTGCTACTGGAAAGCGTGATGTGGCCTTAAACACAACAACATAAATAAAGCTGATCTAATATGTAACATGAATTTCAAATATATGATGCACAGGAGCCCTGCAGTCACAAATCCATGATCATTTTTCATCTGCACAGGTGTCAGTGGAGCTGCATGACCAACCTTAAGGGTTAGACCTTCATTTCCTGCTCATAAAGAGGGGTGATATAGCCAAGGCCCTAGGTTGATTCTGTAGATATGGACAAGTCACCTCAAGCTACTTTCAGAAAGAGCCTGGGGATCATCCAGCCTGAGTCTTCCTGCTGTGCCAGGAGCTGCCCAGACTTCCTTTGTAGTATCTGTGTAGAGGGGGGATGTCTTGAATAGGAACTTGTGTAAGCTGGGAGGCCAAGCACACCCTCTCTGCCTCTTTTCCTCCCATGCAGACTGCTCTACCAAGCAGTCAACAGCCCTGGTGGCACACAAACATGCAAAGCTCAGTTTCCTACCATGTAGTGTGTCTCCTTTAAAATGCTGCATATCTTCAGCTTGACTGCAATAGCTGGGCCCAACACTGGGCCCTCAAACATATATTTACATAATGAACTAAGCCAGTAAAACCTTTGTCTGTGATGATCTTGTGATCCTGTGAAAGATCCAACACTCCCAGGAGCTGAAATTAGAGTTGAAGATGCATAGCATTTTACAGGATTATGTTCCTATTTACATGATGGACTGTTGATGTCTCCAAGTTACTTCTACACCTCATTTTTAAACAAAAAGGCTTTTTAAATTATGTAAATATCTTGGGAAATTAAGCACTTTTTTTTTCTCCAAGAGGTCACACTAATTTTCCAGCCCTGTGACACTTGCCAGGGAGCAGGAGGTTTGGGTGCTGGTGAGCTGGCAGCTTCCCACCCTCAGCAAATGTTCTGTAAGAGTCTAATAACAAAAAGGGCACAGAGCACTGTGAGGACACAACGCCAAGTACCAGCATTACTCATCCCATGATCAAATGTTTTGAAGATTTAAGGGTCTGTTTTGTTCTTTCCCTCCAGCATATGTGCTTCAGCCAGCTCGTCACATCTGAGTTAAAGAGGCACTGCATCATTTCTGTCTGCAAGGGGAACCTGAACCTCGCTGCACGGGTGCCGGGCTGAGGCTCTGCATCCCAATGCTGCAGTGTCCTGGAGCACAGTACCTACAGTCCCTGTACCCCACATTTATTTTGGTATGACAAGCAGGAAGCATCAAATTTTCATTGGTTTAATTGTGTAGCTTGAACCTGTGTCTCTTTCTCACCCTGCTAAGTGGGTCAAATCAGTAATATGGTGACTGGAACATTCCCTGTTTCTCTAGAGGGAGAATGCAACTCAAGGCAGCCAAGGTCAGAGAAGTCAGACCACATCCCATGTCTGTCACAGGGATGAGCTTCATGTACAGTTTTTAACTAGTACCAAGATTTCCCTAATCCCTGACACCTGCTTCTGTGTTTTCTATTTGTTAGAGGTTATATGGAGGAAGAGGCAGAGCATCCTTAGTGTGAGCATGCCAGGAGTTTACTGACTTGTGCTCACTTAGTAAATCTGCCCATGCTTCATAGTCTTCCCTTCTCAACATCTCAGTTCTAAGGGGGAAAGAGTTAAATGATTGCTTGTGACTGTACTACAGCTTATGAGATGACCTTTATGAATTTCAGGTCAGTATTGACAAGGTGTCATTTAAAATAAACAAACACCAAGCAACAAGAGTTGATGGCTGAGCCCTGGGACCACATTCTTGGCTTTTTGATGGTAGGGAGCCTTCGTGCTCTGGCAAAAAAGTTGAAATGTGGAATTCCTGCAGAATTACGTATTAAATCTGCAGGAATACAGAGGTCACCATGAAGGGTGTTATTTTACTAAATACCAGAGGAATTAAGAATGATCAGCCAAATAGGCTAAAGTTTTGTCATTTAGATAAATATTTATAAGAGAATATATTTTTCTTTTGTCTTTTTTTTCTACTTTGTTTGCAGCAGTTGTGCACAAAATTTGTGCTCAGTCTTTTACAAGTGAAGGAATGCAGAGTTTTAACTAAATTCTGGTCTCCTTTGTGCTGCTGGTTGTTGGGAATAATAGACACAAGCCCTGAATCAGACCCTTGCTTTCATAACCCATGGGTGAACTCAGGTTGTGGAGTGTCCATGTAAATTTATTCTCAGGTCAGAGTGTGAGACTACTGAGGGGAGGGAAAGATTCAGAGATCTGGCCCATAATCTATAAACAAATTGGATTCAGATCAATTTACTGTACTTTCAAATAAACTTTTTAGAAAGTGAACAGCTCAAGCTAAATTCTGTCTCTCACACAAGAAAATTACTTTATAACTCAAACCCTGGAGAAGATTTTGAATCATACTTATGTTAGTAAATACAGGGTATGGATGCACATGATGTAAGTGTATAAACCCATGTATGTTACATAAGTTGACACTGCCCTCTAGAATACACAGCTTGTACAAGGAACCAGGCCTACTCCAACTACAGAAGATTAATATCCTCAGGTCTATCAAAGTGACTTGAGAAGCTTAACTGACATTCCCAAGCAAATCTAAATGCTAGAATGAAAAACATTATGGGAAGGTGTAGTGAAGTTAAAAGCTTTTGTTCCTCAGATGCTGTGAAATATGCAGGAATCCACTTGAGCAGTTCTATGCAAAGATAGCTGTCCTGTCCAGAAACAGTCACTGCAGTTGGACTCTCATTTCCCTGTTGTAGAAATATTTTGGTAGAAACTGTGATAGTCAGAAGAGTCCTCTACAGTCACCAAGGGGGTCTGTTACTGCAATGAAAAATTAGCTGTGGGTCACTCACTCTTCCAGCAGTGAGGGATTGAAAGCAGGAACTAAAACTTGCTCTAGGATCAGAAGTAAATGCTATGGAGTTCAGGATCAGAAGCATGCTGCAGTGTTCCAAGTTATTACTTACATGACAGTGCAACATCCGATCCCCAGACAGCATCTTCTAAACTGATATTCTTTGTCACAGACTATAGTTTGTCACTTTCCTAGAAAAATCTGTTTCAGAGGACTGGTAATTCTACCTGATTTCTGCTTATTTTTTCCACTACTTTTCTCCCTGTTTAAAAAATATGCTCAGCTCTATCTCAAACACATTTAATTTCAGAAGGAAAGCAGTGGGTCTTTTTATGAATTTGTCTGTTACAATTAAGAGTTATTTAATCACTCACTACTAAAATATATTTTCCAGACCATGAGAAATTCTTGTCCTTCTTTTCTGAAGCCTTTACAATTTCCTGAAAGGTTTCTGAGAGGAAGGATATCAGAACTGAGCACCATATTCTAGCGACAATCTCACTAATGCCCTAGAGATTCACTTAACCACTTCTTGCTGTCAGGAACTGAATTATTGTTATGAAAACCTGAGCACACCAGAGACAAATCCACCATCTTCTGCTTTTGCAAAAGAATCACAGCAGGTCTAAACCAGGACATTCATGTAGGAAAATGATTGCAAACCATGCTGGAAAAGCTATTAGGGACTAATACTCCCCACCAATACTTTTTCTGTTATATTTCAAGAATATTTTGAGGACTGCAGTTTAATCCACTTCCAAGATACATTATATTATTTAGCTGTAATAAGTGATGTCTTGTTAAAATAAAAGGAATCTTTCACCCCACATTCCTGCTCACCCCATCCCATCCCAACCTCTAAACACACTCTCCAGTGTACAGTTTCTAGCCTGAGCTCTGCATGCAGAAAGCCCACCTCTCAGCTGGTATCTGCCCTGCTCACATTGCTCAGAATGAGTTCTGGGACATTACATTCTCTTTTTGCAAGGACTCTGGATCCTTTTAAAAAAAAATAACACTATAAAACTAACTAAAACTTACTCGCAAATCCCTTTTTTGGCTGCTATGTGAAGAGGTAACAGGCCATCCTTATTGGCTTTGTTAGCATCTGCTCCTTGGGACAAAAGAAACTCCACAATAGGAATATGTCCATTTTTGCAGGCTTCATAAAGAGCAGAGGCGTTATCACTGGCTTGTGTATTTATATCAGCACCTAGGAAGGAAGAAAACCTTTTAGCACCTAAAGTTTAAAATGAGATGTGAGGAGCATACTTTGAATGAACACTTATATTTCCATGACTGGAGCTATGAAATGTGGTGGATGGAGATGTGAACACTGACATATCAGAGGTGGCACAGTCATATCACCCTTATATCATAGATTTACATTGGTTTATAATATGATGGGAATTTTATGAGGGGCAGTTTATCATGGGTGGCAACTATTAGGTCCCAATCATGAGTCCAGGCTCCATTCAGCTGTAGCTCAAAGGTAAAAAAAAATCCAATGGGCTGTTCTTTATATGGCATGGTCTTTCCTTCAAACACACTAATTTTTATGTGTTTATACTATGTATATATACTATTCCTGAGCAGGAGTTTGGACTAGATTATCCCAATAGGTGCTTTCTAAAATTCTATGGATATCTATGCTATATATTTATTTAAATTTATCATTTATACTCTATATAGTCACACTGTAATTATTATAAATACATATTTATAGTATTTATACTCCAATTTGATTTGAATATGTATCCAGGATAAAAGAGTACTGTTAAAAATGACATTTGGATGATGCTGATCAACAGTTCTAAACAGGTTTTATTTGGGAGTGCCTTAATCAATGAATATTGCATTTCAAAACTTAACACCTGAGGCCATATCTCTTCACTTCATGAGGGTTGGAGTTAGGCTTCAAAAGTTAAGTTCTACTATAAAAATTAGATAAATATTAACAATGAGCTACTGGACTATATGGGAATTTCTTTCTTGAGCTCTAATATATGCTTTGTTTAATAAATAACATGCAAGTATAAACTAAGACAATGCTTTTTTGCCATAAACAATATGGAATCTAGTTTTTTCTGTTGTAGATATTTAAGACCTTTAAGCCTGGGTTTTGGCTGTCATATACTGTACCATGGTGCTCTCAGGAAGGCTGCTCTATGTGTATCCTAAATGGGAATGACAGTTCACTGGAGTTTTGCTTCTAAACTACAATAAAGAAACCAGTCAGTCTTCTGTTTGATCATGAAAACTCTCTGCCAATGAGGACATTTCCCTGGGCTCTCACCCTAAGCTGAAACATCTGTGTTGTATTTGGCCCTTTGAAGATGTTGTAGCTGGAAACATCAGGACAACTACAGTGACAAAAACATAACACAGGACTATGTTCCTAATGAGAAAGAAACCCTTTTCATTATGAAAATTGCTCATCATAAACAAATGAATGATATCATTCCTGGGATGCTCAGAAGAGCTTTCAGGGCTTGAAATAATTGGACAGTTTTATTGGCGTTTTGTGCATTTTTCTCAAAATTGAACTTTAAGGAAATCTTAATATCTATCTAATTTGAAACACAAATCACATCCTGGCTTGGTTTCTTAAGTCATAGGCAGCATGATGGACTAACTGGTTACGCAAAACTCTCTTGACAAGACTAGCTGGGCAGCAGAACAAAATTTTTTTGTTTCCCAACTCTCATATCTTTCTTAATCTTTCTAATTTTTTCGAAAGTTTTTCTTATCTTCATCACTGGTAAGCTCTTGTTTTGCAAGTGCAGGACCCAAGTCTTATTGAAGATATTAGTCCATTGTGAAAATAAAGTATGCCTCAGTGAAGTGTATTGTGCTTATTGTAAAGCTGTTTTAAATGAGTGGAGCAATAAAAGATAGTTTTAGTGTAAATTAGATTCAAATTCATTATGTTTATATGTTTGAACACTTATAGGGACAGTGAATCTGCTTCTATTTGATATAAACCCATAAACTCTACTTTATCTATTTTCAGAGGATACATTACGAGGACAGCTAACCTTGTTCATCACTGCACATTCTTGAGCAGATGGGGTAGGCTGAAGTTCAACTTCTGTCATCTATTACCACCTACAGCTGTCTTTTATGACTGACTGGATTTTAGGCTACATGTGTGCAGCAGTATGGATTTAGAAAGCTGTAAGGAAATGCAGTCAGACAGCACCACATTACTTCCCAGAGCAGGTGACCTTGAATGAATGCTGAAGAAGCATGTGTTTCTAGGCCATGTATTTCATGCTCTGTGAAAGACCCTACCCAGTCCCATCATCAGGAGCAACAGTGTTTTAATGTCTCTGCAGGCTAGGCCTTGCCTCCAGAGGCAGAAAAAATGAGCCAGGCAGAATTACTGGGAAACTCTGAATTATTAATTATTAAATGAATAGATGCATGTAAGCTGTACTCACCACATCTTGCAAGGTATCTCAAAGCTTCCAGCTGCCCACTCTCAGCTGCCACAAATAAAGAAGTGATCCCATAGGCATTTGCAGACTCAATCTTGGCACCTCCTTTCACAAGGATATCAATGATCTCCAGGTCATTTCGGGAGACAGCCTCATGGAGAGCAGTCCAGCCTCGGTTGCAGCGATGGTTGGTATCTGCATTGTACTGCACCAGGAGCCTTGCAGCCTCTGCATTTTTGCGCTCACAAGCTGTTTTAGAAAAAAGGGAAGAGGCTAGGACAGGCTTTTGGAAGTATTCTGGGTGTTTGGTATCCATTTCAGGTAGCCTGAGGCAATATAATACAAATAGGCCACAGTAAGACCAAAGACCCATTTAAGCCTGTATGAGAGCAAAGGTTGCTGCCAAGTGACACTGTCTGAGGCTCAGAAAGGATGTGGCAGTGAAGCCAGTCTTCAGCTGGACCCGGATAAGTGTCCTGTGCAGGGATTGTGCCAAGTCTGCTACTGGGGGGAATCTGGCCCAGCACATTTTTACCAACAAGAAACCAAAGGGACACAGTGAGGTGATAAGGTGCACGAAGTAATTTATGAAGAACAAATATGTTACAGAAATCACGCGACCTGAACACTTTCTTTCCAAATTCTGTGCAAACTGACTCCTTATTGCCATGGACTGCAGATAAAGATCCATGTAGAGAAGAAAATAAAAAAAGCTCAAATCAACAGTTGCGTAGCTCAGTAGCACTTTCTCAATTTATAGTTCGATTTATAGCTCAGGACCATCCTGAGCTAAAGATAGTTTCTTAATAATTAATAGCATTTTGTTGATTTTTATTCTTCCAATTTGTCCCATAGCTTTTTGAATCCCAAATCATGAGGCTCCCCATGCACCTTAATAGTGGGACTCTAACCTAGAAGTACATAGGATGAGCAGCTACATTGAAAAACCCCAATCAGCATTTGTTGTGCAAGGTACAGAAGAGAAGCACATTTCATAACAATTAGTTTTTTCTTTGAAATAATAGTGTATTTTTTCTCACAGAGGTCCCACTGATTCTTCCTTTGCAATAGCTCCATGGTGCTCTCCCCCATAAACAGGTGTCATTTGTATACTGAAACCAACCGTGTAATTAGACATTTCTGTAATTATCGATCCATAGCTCTGCAGAGTTTAATTTGCTTACATATGAGGGATGACTATTTTGTTATGACAGTTTTTTAAACTCTTGTTTGCTGTTCTTGTTATTGTAGGATAATGTAGAAGATACTGCATCAAGGATAATCCATTCTTACTAACTTCTTCTCTGTCTAAAGGGTGTTTTCATATCATTGTTGTTGTGATTATTATTACTATGACCTCTACTACTACTACTACTACTACTACTACTACTGCTACTATTACTACTACTGCTACCACTACTGTGTGTTTAATGCACAGCTGAACAGCTTTTCCCTGGTCAACTAAAAGCCAGAATTTTAAAACAATAACATTTTAAATGTAGCTCTAATGCTAGGCATCTAAATTTGGAGGCAAGATTGTTGTTTTAACCTGTAATATGTGTTTTTAATATTTTAGAGTGCTAAAAACTCATGGCAGGAGCAAAGGACGTTGGACATGAAGGTGTGAGAAGTCTTCAGTGAATGTGATATCATGGATATATTGCTAGTCTGCTAAAAGAAAAAAGTGTTCTCTCCAACCAGCAGCAAAGTAATATGTCTGCGTTAAATACTTTATCTGCCTCACTGAACTGTTTTTAATTTGAAGATTGTCCCATAGCACACAGCCTGGCCTGACCCACACAGTATGTGAGTCACTGGCATGTCTAGTTACTGTACTTGCCCGTCCAACAGCTATTTAGGTCCTACCGTTTAGCAAAGCATATGTAGTCCTTCACTACCCAGCTTTCTGTAAGTTTGGGACATTGTGCAGACAGCCTGTGCTTAGGGTCCCAGTGACAATTTCACCCCTCACCCTCAGCACCTCATCACAGCCTGCACCCTGCAGTACAGCTGCTATTCCTATCTCTGTCCATGAGATAAAAGGCCATGGCATGGCAGGTGAGGCATAGGAGATGGAGGACTACCACAGGGAAGGAGAAAACAAGAGCTAATCACTGCCCTTCAGCCCCTCATCACAAGTGGTCCTGCAGTTCTGCCTTGGTGGTGCCAGAAGAGCTCAGCATCCCTGGAAAAGCAGCTACTCACCTTTGTAGAGCGGCGTTTCTCTGGCCTTGTTGGAGATGTCGGGCTCAGCCCCAGCCTGCAGCAGGGTGAGCAGGCAGTCCAGGTTGCCCCGGCTGGTGGCCAGGTAGAGAGCTGTCTCCTCATTGAGGGTGCGCTGGTCAATGGTGCCTGGGTATGCTGTGAAGGAATGGTGAGCCCAAAGTCATTGTGGCATGTAGTGCACAATTATCTGCAGCACCACCACCCTTCTAAATCCTTGGGGGTTTAAGTTTTTATTGTTTATTCATTTCCATAAGCAATGTAAATTAGGAATATACCATAATGTTACTGTAACTCAGGTTGACTATGGAAACCTGTCTTCAGTTTAGATTAAAATGTTCAGCTTTGGCCACTAGTGATGCAGAAGGTTGTTGAGTAACTGTTCTTCAGCCGCAGTTTGAAAACAAACTACAGTAATTTACTTCAAGCACCAGCTAAGAGATGCTGGGTTGGATGTCCCCCCAGGGGAAACTGTGGTTATTCCTGTCAGCTTGCAGCAGCCAAGCAGCTCATAGCAGGAGAGAGCTCAGCTTCAAGGCCTGAGCATGAGAATCCCAGGGCTTGGAAGAATCTATCCTGTATCACTTTCTCCCAAATATCCTAGCTTTTAGAGGCTTCAGTCTGGAAACCTACTTTCCAAGAGAAGGTGGAATTAATATACAGGCAGGGAGGTTGGAAAGAAGCTTCATACACAGCCCCAGGCTAGGACTGAAACACTGCTAATTTGGCCTTTTAGTTTATCCATGTTCTTTTTCCTTTTGTAATTAGTTGTAACTTCACTGACCTTTTTGCAACAGGCTGAGGCAGCCCACTTGGCCATAGTATGCAGCTTCGTGGAGGGGTATCCAGCCATCCTTATTAGGTACAGAAAGGTTTTTTCCTGATTTCATCATGTTGCATACTGCTTTTTCATCTCCATCCCTGATTGCTGCCACTACAGGGTCAATTTCTCTTTAAAACAAGATTAAAACTTGGTTATTGCTTCCTTCATTACTGAGAAGCTTTCTGCAGCAACATCACTGTTATATTTTCCCAAAATAGTGAACCCCTGCAGCCTATATAGCACGTAATTGTACAGTGAGACACCATAGGGCCTGTAAAGATAAAATTTGTCTTCTCTAATCTTGTCACTGCCAGCAGATCAGAGGAATCACTGTCTGGAGCTACTGATCACTCTCCTCAGAATGTAAGGAAACTAGGTAGGTGTAATTAATGTCTGACACAAACACTTATATTTTAGATGTTGGGAGTTGTGCAAGACTGACTCTGACATTGCTGTTAGCACTGCAGAGTGTCCATGACTCTGATAATTGCATCACCTCACTGTCCCTTGTGGCATGGTGCTTCCACATGAGATCTTTTAAATAAGCACAACTCTGAAGAGAATTACCCCTGTATATCCTTGAAGAAATTTTTAGATTTGATTTGCAGGTGGTTTTAACAGAAATTATCAATAAATCTTACTCTTGTATTTTTAAGATACTTCTTGTTTCCATGCATAATCCTGTTTTCAGAATTTAGCCAGTCCACTGAAGAAGGGAGAGCTCTGGTTAGAGTATGTCAACACTGGGGTGTTGGTCTTGGCTCTCCTTTCTTCATCCAGGCAGGAATGAAAAAATCTACCTACTCAAATCCCTCTGCCAAGTGTGTGTTCAGCACACTCTGGGCAGCAACCCATTTACCTGAGCTCTCTGTGTGTTTGCAGAGCAAACCTGACCTGGGCACACCAATCCTGCTGCAGAGCAACACTGACAGCTCCTGTGAGTCTCCCCACACAGTGGGAGTCCCAGCACTGCCTGGCAGCCACTTTCCCCAGGTCAGCAGCACCTGGTTCCTTCCACTCCTTCCAGCCCTTCTGAGGCTGCTGGTAGCATGGCAGAGGTAGGGAGCTGGAGAGCTCATACCTGCAGCCAAGGCAGTGGGACCCTTGCCCGTGGTGGGCAGCAGCTCTGTGCATGCTGGTGGGCTGTGCCTTCCAGTGTTGGCATCTGCTTGTGCTCCAGCTGAGCTGTGCTGGGACAAGGCAGTCACAGCTTTGTTATTGCCATGCACTTAATGACTAAGATTCAGCATGGCCAACACTGTGAAGGAAGAAGCACTTTACCAGTTCAAATGGGGACTTGCAAAAAATGAATGTGGGCTGTAGTTTCAGAGCCAGAAAACAAGAAGTTGCAGAAAGCACTGGAGCATTTGTGGTTTGAACTAGCTCTACAGAGAAAATCTTGCAGTTCTGAAGACAGCGAGATGCGGGAGAGAGGTGTGTGTCTCAGACTATTGGTCTTGCCAGGGCAGGAATACAGCACGTGGTGGAGGTCATGCAGGCTAGTGGTGATGGGAACAACCAGAAACTCCAGTTATGACAAGAAGTCTAAAATACCACAACAGAGTGAGAACAGAGACATAAAAATATGGGCAGGTCAGCACAGGAGTCCTCACAAAGCAGCATACTGGTGCAACCTCTGCAATTTGTGGGAGTTACAGGAGCAGCACTGAACTTCACTGCCTTGTAGGGGCTGGACAGACCAACAGGCTGAAACTCACACAGGCCTCACTAATTTCAGTTTGCCCAAAGGCACACAATCTATGCCATAGACACTGATATTAACATCGAAAGAAGTCACCAAGCTGGTTTTCTGAGGATAAATTCAGGGCCAGGAGTGGACAGGTGATCTCAAGCTTTGTGCCTGAGAATGGGAAAAGACACCATTTCCCAGGTGAAATAGTATTTGGTGCCACTTGCTCCTTCTCTATAGCTGGAAGCAGTGTTTTCAAGACAGTAGGGTCACAAAAATAGCAACACTGGAATGAGGAGAGATATGAGACACAAGGCCAGGCATTTTGCCTGAGAAGATAACAGCTAGAACATGCAGCTGCTGTCCTGGCCACAGCCCTCCTGGGAAGAATCGACTGACCTTCTGATAACTGCTGGCTGGATGTCCCAGGGACACTGCTGTATCTCCATACTGATTACAGTACCCTGGGGACTAAACCTAACATTCCAAATTGTGTACATATAATAGATTTTTATACAGGTGTTTGAAATTGAGCATTTTTTTGGAGTCTGCTGACAGCAACTATTGGCATTTTTGGCTGGGAGAGGAGGCGGAGGTGGGGGATCTTCATCTTTCAACACCTCTGGCACAAGGCTGCTGAAACCATCTGTTGTTCTGTACAAAGGCTCATGTTACACTTGTAGGGCTGTGACCTCAGGATTTGGGCACATGATATAATTACTGGTGCTTAATGAATTACTGCATGCCAGGTGGGCCATGGCAGGCGTCTGCGCATGGGCCGGCACACAGCAAATGCAAGGTAAATCACATTATCTGAGACCTCAGGGAAAGCAGGAGGTACCTTGGATCTGGGCTGGGGTTAAAAATGTGTGAAGAATCAGTTATTATTCTGCTTAAGCCCTCAGATGTTGAATGAAGCAAACTTCTGTTGGGTTCCTTGACCTTAAATGATTCCTGAGTAAGATGAGGGGGTTTGCTGGACCAGGCTGCTGATGCTTTAGCCAAGAAAATTCCAGATCAGAACAGGAGGTTTAATGAATCTCCATGTGAAATCCTTGTTTTCTGCCTGACTTATAGTTTGCTGTTATAAAAACCCACCACATTCTGCTGCCTGGATTTCATCAGATATAGAAAATACAAGTATTAAAACATGGAGGTAGCCTGAAGATGAAATCTTAACCTTATAGGCAACTCAAAAGAATTACAGCATTTCAAAGACCAGTAGGCAAGATAATAAATACCCCTTGCAGATGAGATGTCTGGTGAAGTCAATTCTGAATGCTGAAGAAGAGGTTCAGTGGAACATGGAATGGTTCAAGAAGCTCCTTCTTTTCCTGACAGCCTGGAGAGATGCAGGCAGGATGAAGGAACACCACTTCCCCAGGTGAAGCCAAATATTATCCCTGCCTAGCTCTGAGACTAAGACTATAAAAATGCCAGCCATACTATCATCTTCTCCTAGGATTTCCCAGCTATGCTCCCATGCTCTACATGGCAGCAGAGGAGGGATAATTTATCAGCCTTCTTATATATTGAACTCTATGCAGCTACCTGGTGGAGAAGAGCAGCCTGCCCTCAAGTTTTCTATTGCATCAAAGAGGCATGCAAGAAGTGCAGAGCACCTAGTGAGCGGATGTGATTACAGTGTGGCCAAGGGAAGCTGGCAGGTGACAGGGATAAGGCAGCTTTCATGTTGTAGCAGGAAGAGGTTTTCACAATGTCAGGGAGGGCAATGCCAGTGGTGGGCCTGGAACAGTCTGAATCAGCCAGGATGCAGGGGGAGGTGGGGGAGATTGTAGAGCTGGGTGAGAGGTGAAAGAAGAGAGGTAAAAGGGTAATCACTGTGCCTGTGCATCCAGGGAGGGACGTGTAAGATGGATCAAACAAAATTTGAACTAGGTAGACAGAAAAGGTGGGGAGTTTCTTTTCTGCAGAATACAGGGAAGTGCTGGCTGTAACACTTTCCTCTTGTCATCTGATAGCTAAGGGCAGGTGCATGTCTCTATTCTGCACTGCAGAGAGCTGTAATAAACCCATCATGGTTCACACATTTTCACTACACACAGGGACTGGGACAGAGCTTGGGCCACTGTCTGCTTTTCTCATCCATGACTGTGTTCAGCTAAACTTATTTGCAGCCTCTGCCAACAGCAAAACAGGAGGATCAGTCAGTCAAGGCAGTTTCCTCCTTGGACAAGTAAGCCCTCCTTAGTGTGACTGGACAGCACAGGTATGGCTGGGAGCAGGCATGGCATCTTGGGAGCATTTATAAAATACTTACTTGAAGGATTGGACTTTCTCACGTGGTTTATGTGCTGTGATACATTTCCCCCCCACTTTTCCCTGTTCCTGAACACTGAACTTAATACCAATGCAGTTACTTTCAGCACCTGCCTGCCTCATCTATCCTGCTGATAAGTGAGCCAGCCTATATAAATTAACCACAGTGCAGTCATCCCTGCCCTGTCGTCCTTGTCACCTCAGAGCTTCTGACTGGACCCAGAGTCCCCAGGACATGAGCACTGGGGAGATGGAGAGAGATGAAGAGGGAGAAGAGAAAAAGGGTATTTGAGGTGGGTCACTTGCAAGAACACAGGCTTGGGGCAGTGGGGAGGTTGGAACAAGAACAGGAGTGCAGCGAGGGTGAGGTGCAGGTGTCAGTGAGACCTCCTCCAGATGAACACCGCATTTCCCCCCACCAGGCACCATCACCACCCAGAAGACATGTCTCAGGGAGAGAGTGGGTAGCAAGGCTTGTTTTGGGGAAAGCAGGAGAGGGAGAGGGAGACACTTACACGGACTGGGATGTGCTGAACAGGCTGCTGTCGTACCTTCGCCTGACCCCCCAGGCTGCCCCCGAGCTGGATGGCTGAGCACGGCCTGTCTGCTGGGCCGCCAATCTGGAGTGGCGATGACATGAATGAAATAAGGAGAAATACTCCGAATAGGAGAAACAGGTCATGCTGAGGCAGAAACAGAGACACACATCCACAGAGACGGAGCGAGCGAGCCTGCCGGTCAGGGCTTTGAATAAAAGCAGATGGCCAGGGCTTGCTCTGCACTGGATTCAGCTGCTCACTCGGCTCGAGTTTATTTTTGGCCCTCTGAGGAAGCGTCAGGGGATTCAAATGACCATATAAGACAACAGTGTGGTTAACCCTACCACCACCACACAGGAAACAGGCACAGAGCGAGGTGAGGTGACGTTCATCACCTCCAAAGTGCCATGCAAACAGGTCAGAAGAGGGGGCAGAGGAGGACCCAGAGCTACTGGATGTCAGCTTCCTTTCCATCTCTGCTTTCCCAGCTCAGCAATGCGACAGATTTGGTGCTACAACCTCCAAAGATTTTCTCTCTGGTGAGAGGTCTAACACTGCTGGGCTGAGGTGAGGCAGATTAATGCACAGAACTGCTAATGCTGTTTTTTGCCAAAATAGCAGGTGTTGAAGGACCTTCAACAAGGACAGGACCAAATGGCCAGGGAAGCCCTTATTGTCCTCTGCATTGGGTCACTACAGGAGAGCTGACTGCGTAGGTGCACGGTAACCACACCAAGAAACCAGTCTTTGGTGGGAGCAGGACTGCTGCCTGCACAGCATCCTGATTCCACAGCTATGCACATGCTTGCTGCTCATCAAATTGTCCCCAGTTTCCCAGCCTTGGAAGCCAAACAACCACAGGTGGTAATGAGCAAGGCATCAAAGGGCGGTGGAGTTATGAAAAAGGAGGAGGAACAGAACTTCAGTAATGGTCAGTTTATTAAAAAAGGGAAAACTAAAGTAACTTGAAAGAGTAAAAGGATATTTTTCCTTGCTTTGGAGGTGACTTTGGAATCTATTCCCATCCCCCTTGAGACATCTGCCTTTTTTAAAGTGAAAGGGGAACAATATCTGGGTTTGAAACTGTCAGCAGGCCTCTGTGACCACAGCTCAGAATTTCAGGGGAGGGGGATGTTGCCACGATTTGGTGTCTGGAGTTGCTCTTGGTTAAGAGTGGTGTGCTTGAAGTCAGACTGATCTGAAATAAACACATCCTTTAAAAACTGAAGTGTTTAACAGGTAGTCAGGTACCACTGTTTTATACACCTGTTTTTTCTGCCTCACTTATGTTTTCCCATAACAAATGCTTTGCTCCCACTCTGGCAAAACCTAAGCTTGGCATACAGTGGGCAAAAGGAGCAGCTGGCCTTGGGAGGGTTTCTTTTGCTCAAGAAAGCTTGGCTGTGCCCCTTTTTTCATTATATTTGTTGCTTAAAACAGACAACAGCAGGGAAATCCTCCTCTCGCTATGAGCACGTAAATTGTTGACCTCACTGGATTTATAGCAGACTCCAGCTTTGACACTAATGACAGACTCGCCGAGGAGCTGCCTGGCAGAGCTAATTAGAGAGCAGGGGCACTGACAAGGGAGCCTGTTTTCCCCTCCTGGGCAGGGCTCTCTGGGGGGAACAGCCCAGGCTGGCACTCACTTACCTTTGCCAGGGGTAGATGCGGTAGGGAGGGTTGTGGGGGCTGGCACGGCTCGGAGCGCCCACCTCACCAGCACGGGCCACCAGCGACTTCTGGGGGCTCTGGGCCGCTGGCTGACCCGCCGGGTCCTCTTCCAAGCTCTGCTGGATGGCCATCTTTATAAGCTCATCTTCACTCAGGCTACTGTACAGGCTGTACTCCTCACAGCCTATCGTTTGTCTTTGAGTATTTGCTGCCGTCGTAGCCATTTTTATAATTCTTTGCTTTCCTGTAAAAGGAAATTGTGATCATCAAAATCTGGAAAATGGAAAAAACCTCAACTATCTTGTACTGCTGTTCGGGTCTGCCTCTTAATCAGGCTGACCAGAAAACCCTTCAGAAATCCTTCACCATGGAGAGAACATTATCAGCTAAAATATGCATGTAAACTGAATGAACGAACTCCTTTCAATTACACAGAAATAACTGGTTTAGCAGGTGTTTAAAAAAGGGGGAGTTGTTGCAAGCAAGGCAAGTTTTTATCTGCTTATTCTGGTTACCACTCCTCAAGAGAAAAATAGTTAAAGGAAATCCCCTTAAGATTAAAGAGACAAATTTTTGAATTTTATTTAGGAGAAGACCAATGGATGTCTCTTTTTGTTGGTTTTATTTCTTGCTGTATTTGCAGGAAATTAAGGGAAGAGGTTTGTCTCTTTTCTGGTTTTCTGCAAGGACAGGTTCCTTTGCACCATAAAGTGCAAAGAGGCTTTGTAATTTTTTCCACCTTATCTGGAGATCTCTCAAGCAACATACAAAGCTATGCTCTGAAGTGACTGTTTCACTCAGCGAGGAAAGCAACACCACACTGTTCTGTTTCACTTCTGATTTTTTGCTTTTTCACAGAACAAAGTTCAAGGTCACGAGTGAGACAGAAATGAGAGAAGGGGGAAACATTTGGCACACTCAGCAATCACTGAATGACTGAACCACCACTGCAGGGCTCTAAAAGGCAAAGACAATTCAAAATACTGCAGAATTTCCAGCATTGATAGGGAAAGTACTGATACCATGAATGGTATAATGCTCTAACAGGATCTCATTCGGATGCCAGAGAGCACTCTGGCCATCAGTGTTCAAGAACCAAGGGTTTCTTTTATGGCAAGAGGTGGAAAATATCTTCCTCTTTTAGGAAGATATTAGCCAATGCAGAATAGGTCTGACTTTATAAGCACTGAGCAAGAACTGTGTAAAATAATGGGGAGCACTGGGGTGAGGAGCAATGGGAACAAGCTGCTCAGGAGGACATGGATGTGACAGGAGAAGAACATGGGGACATGTCCAGGTGCAGAGAAGTGAGGGGCTGCTGGACTTACCGAGAAAGCTGCCTGCCCCCACCCTGTGGCTGCCAGTCGCTGTCCCATCAGTGCCACAGCAGGGCTGGTCTCCAGCTCCAGGCAGCCCTGCTCTGCCCAAGATCAGGTCCTACTGATCTGGGCCAGCCAGCAGAGCCATCAGCCTGGGGACAGCAGTGCCACCCAGCTTCCCACTGCTCAGGAGCTGCCTCAGCAGGAGCCTCTGGGGAGCTGTCAGCTCCCTTTCCCTGTACAGCTGCTCTCTCCACCAAGCACCCAGCTCAGCCTGGTTTCCTGGACACTCACACTGACACCAATGGCAGAGGAGTCCAGCAGGCCACAAGCCTGACACCAGGAAAGTGCCCTGCTGCAGCAGCCCTTGCTGCTATGTGCACAGCCAAAAGACAGTCCTGACCCAGAGGAAATGACAGCTCCCCAAATACAGTTTGAAGAAAGACTTGAATCAATCAATGCAAGAGCTTGAATCAATCAAGTAACTTAAAATCTTGGATTTAGGCTTTTCTCTTCAGACATGGTGATATCTCCCACATCAACAGTCATCTTAGGCTCTAAGCCCCCTCCAGAAGAAGTGGGAAGTCTTCAGGGTAAAGGGAAGCTGAGCAGATTTCAGATTGACATCATAACTTTTACCAATAAAAGATACATTTTACAGGCACAAAAAATGCCAGAATAAAACCTTCAATTACTGTAAATAATGTGACCCAATTTTGGTGGTTTTTCTTATCTTTTTTTTTTTCTTCCTTTATTTTCAGCCAGATATCTCATGGCTGCTGTTGTTTCCCTTCTCCAGTCAGTGCCTCAGCTCAGCTATGACCCTTGTTGTCCTGAAGATCCAAGCCCAGGCGTCACACCGCTGATAGCCTCCCTGTGCCCCCGCTGCTCCGGTACCTGCCTTTGGCTGCTCTCCAGCCAGCAGCTGGCTAGGAACCATGACACAGCTTTGTTTGTCCAGCAGCTTCTGCTGCTCTTTGGCTTGCTCAGCCCCTGGCACACTGGGCAGTACTTACATAGTCGCTCAGCCTAGGAACTCACGTAGTGACTGGTGAGCTGCAGATGTGTGGAACCCACCGGCTGGAGTTGGAGGGAACATCCAGCAGTCGTCTGCAGCATCCAGCACTGCAATGCCTGAATGTAGGGACCTGGCCCCAGTGGTGACTCAGAAATCTAAATCAAGCTGTCAGCAGGAAGGGCAGGATCTGATTGTAAGCTCCTAATGAAGGTGATGCACAATGAATCCTTGAAGAAGGCAAGAATGGAGATGAAACTGCTCCTCTCTGAGGGCAACCTGCACCAGTGCAGGCTGGGACACAGATTCCTCCTCTGTATCCTCCCCAGTCCCTTTGCCAGCATCCTCATGGCAGTGAATCCACCACTGTTGTGCTTCTGAGCTGAGTGTTGCAGTGCCTTCTTTGGGAGCCTGGGCTTTAAGGATTGTATGGGAAACTTCTGCCAACATGACTCCACACCCTGGCACAGAGGAGCTGACTGATAAAGCTGCTTCACCACATCCCAAATGGATCCAGGTATAAAGGCCACTTCTGGACCTTCTTCCCCTCCCTCCTTTTCTTTTTTTTTTTCACACATTCTTAAGGCAAAAGGAGCTAAAGAGAAGATTTTAAATTTGTGGGGATCACTCCTATTTCATCCTCTTATCGTTTGTAGGGGTTAACTGCAGAAAAAAGGGAGAACCTCTCCTGCATGTTGGTGAGCCTCACTAATCTAAATATTTTGATAGGAGTTCCACAGAGTTCAGAATTAACAGTGTTGGCTGCAGCTCCCATCACTGATCCATCCTGCAAGGAGAAACTTGATAGGGTTCAAAACAGAGAAAACTTTTCAGTTCTACTCATTGCAGTGCACAAACACGATGAAGGTGTGGGGTCACATCCTGGGCTGCAGGAGCTTTTGGGTCCTTATTGAGAGCCAGGGACAGTCTTGGCTGCCTTGAACCCCGCAGAGAGTGTTCTAGTTGGCCTTGAAGCTGTCCCTGCACCCCCCTGCTGTCTCCACTTGCTCAGACAAGTGTGTGTGTGCAGTTTGCCTGTGTGCTGTGACTGAGTCTGGCAGGAGGCAGGGCACATGCCTTCTTCCCTACAGCTCCCTGCAGAGTGGTGTGCAGCAGAGCCACCGCCCTCCCCTTCCACCTGCCGATGCTTTTGTTTGAAGCTGCAGGACCACAGGCCAGGGGCACTGCTCTGAGTTGTGTCTGTAAGAAGCTGCAGTGAGACAGCTGAGCTGCGATGACAGGCTGAGCACATGCCTTTGACTGGAGGCTAATGCACCACAGCCTGATTCAGTTTACCCTTCTTTCCCTGAGGCCAAACTCCGTGGCATCACCTGGCAGTGCCCTGGCTCAGCTGACAGCAAGGCTAAGCTTACCCCATCTGAGGCCATCAGTGAACTGCCAACCACAGGCTTATAAAAGCTCACTAAGCTAATGCACTACAAGCTAAATATTTTCCACCTTCTGTAATGAAGGTGTGAAAAAAAAAAAAAATGTTGCTAGAAATATTTGAACAAGTCTGGATTAGTAAGATCTGGCCAAAGTGGTCTTTCTAAATGTAGCTTGAATCTATTTCCTTGCTCTAAGCTGGCTTACTGTAGGTTTAAAGTATTGGAATTAGATTTCAAAGTTAAATGCTGCAGGTTTTGGGGGAATGTTTTAACATTTGACTGTATTGTGCATTCTTCTGGCAGCCCAAGAGCCCATCCTCACATGCAGGCAGCACACAGCCTCTACTGGGACAGCAGAACCTGATTTTTAAAGCTGTGGGTATAGGGCCCATATTATTTCTTAGAGAATGCTTTGCTTTGGGGTCTGAATGCTCCACTAGTGATCTCTCTTGGCAGAGACATGTCTTGGAAGTCTGCTGCCTGTGCTGCCATTTAGTAGGTCAATCTGACAAGATCTTCTGGAATCTAAATTTACCACCATTTCCACATAGAGTCTTGTCCTGATTTTAATTTTACCATCCTGATTTCAGTGAGAGTTTGTTAATTCAGATGTGTAATCAGGCCTGTGCCATACAGAGGCAACTTAGATGCATCCAGTGACCAGAAGGTAAGGCTGGAAATAAAATATTTGTGCAAGTATGCTTGTGACCTTCTAACCTGTGTTGATGAACAGCTGTACCTGCTAGATCTCTGAAACCAAAGGTACTACTCACAAGGGGGACTACTAGTAATCACCTACATGATGGCAAAAGCCAGAGACAAACACAATTAGGTTGCTATTATATTCAGACTACGAGCTCTGTCAACATACTGTGCTTAGGAGAATGGGCCTCTGATCCCTGATGCAACATAAATAAACAAGGATTATGGCTGGCTTTGAACTTGCAGAACCATGCAATTCAATACCATTAGCATCTGAAACAACTGGTCCCTGTTGATAGCACTTTTTTAAAGGAAAGCTTAGCGAGGCTGCCTGTCCCCCCTCAATAGATCCTAGGCAGCAGAATTAGCAGAATTACTTATTTCTGTCAGAGAAAGATGGCAGATGAGTGACAAGGTCATTAAGGGAACAGAGCCAGACTCTGCCTGCCTTTGCACCGAGTTTATTCCAGTCAGGTTGTAACTGAATACAGAACCTTGTTATTTATGGCTCAGAGTGCAATAAACCACATTTGTGACAACATAACCAAGTCTTTGTAGGCTACAAAAGAGAGTAGACGAGCAGCTTCATCATTTTGCCTTTTTTAAGGAATGGCTGAGCTCCTGCTTCTGCAGATCTGTGTTTGCATTTCCACATGTTTGTCTTTACTTCTGAAAGCAGCAGGAGCACACATGAGGGAAGGCAAACACGGCTGGATGTCTTCACAACAAACTGAGCCTCTACATCAGTTCTTACTGTTGCACCTTTCAGGACAGATCCTCCATGGGCAATGGAAACCAGACCAACTTGCAGCGCTTAAAG